ACACACACACACACACACACACACACACACACACACATTCACAAACTCACACATTTGCATACACGATACTGCTGCTTACACACAAATAATCATGGGGTGTTTTTATAATTGCATGGAAAGAAAATTACCTGGAAGTTTCGAAACCTCACCCGCTATCAAAAACTGGAGTCTCTCTCACTTTTTTCTACATTACTGTGAGTAGCAAACAACTGATCTGTATAATTATTGAAACCGTGGGGTCTGTAAGGATATCCGGAAGATTACAGCGAGTCAGGTTTGATTGGACCCTGGGACGAGGGGGTGGGGTTGTGGTGGGGAGAGGGAGAAGTAGAAGAAGGGGGTAGTTAGTGAAAAGGGATTCTGAAAGGGAATAACAATGGTGAGGGTAGAGATCACGGTGTTGGCTATGCCAGTCGAGGAGGAAGAATAGGGAGGAGATTGGTAGCTGTATGGACTTTCCCCCTCTTTCAACATTACAACTTTTCAAGAGGTGAGAACTCCAAATTTAACATCCATCTCTGATGAGAGCGAGCTAAGTGAATCAAGTCTTGACAATCCGCCCAACAGCCAAAGTTCAAGAATGCCTCATTAGGGTTTTGAAAAGTCATACGCCTTAAATGTGTTCCCTGGGGAGATTTACGAGGGTGAGGTGGTGTATATTTCGATGGCTTGATGCAAGACTCTGAAAAATCACACACACACACACACACAATCTCTCGCTCTCTCTCTCTCTCCCCCTTTCTCTTTCTCTCACACATACACAGATACACACACAAACACAAAATAAATTTTGACACTTGAAGGCATATCTTCAAGTGGCAGTGCATTGTATTATCTACAAATTTGGTTCTAGAATACGAGTCATTTTAAAAATCAAGATTGTTAATTAAATCCCTCTGCAATACACTTGCTTTTTTTTGCAGTTATTCTTACTATTCATTCCCCTGATGTTGCTGATGGTAAATTTTCTGGCATTGTGAACGAGAAAGATCTAAATCCAAAATTGTTGGTGATACAAGAACTTACGTGAATTCTGAATGACGGCACAGTCTTAATTCTGGCAGTTCAGGAAAACCCACGAAACAAATTCTTGCTGCTTAGAGTTAAATAATGGACCAACACGTACCCATTGTGTGCCCATAATCTGCTGATGAGACTGTAACCCACACATTCAAGAACTGCCCATTTCTGCTACTCTCCACTATGACTGTAGTCCCCGATGGCATGATGATCTGGGAACAGATTTTGAGGAAATAATTACTTTAAAAAGTGCCAACAAAATTTATGATTATGAATATAACAATCTACAACTAGTCAGATTTAGTAGAAATGAACCATAGTGAAACAATGCATGAGTAATTGCGATAATAATCGATTACAGTTATTTTGAAATCCCACCAAAATCATTGGCACATAACAATGACAAACCAAAAATATAAGCTCCGTTTCACACATATGCTTCTTTTCAATTATGTATGTAAACAATATTTCTCAATGGAGAGGTAATTGGACCATGCTGGTACATGCAGCATGATTGTATGTGTGAGTATATGTGCATAAGAGCATATTTGCACGTGAGCTTATGGGTTTATACGATATTTACTATATATATTTGGTCTCGTACAAGCATATAAAGATACATTATCAATTTCATCCAACAGAGAATCAATAGCATTTCTGAAATTTTAATGTGAACAAAATCAACATATAGACATTCTTACGTGATACTGGTTTCCTTGGTCATATCTCTGAAGTTTAAAACCTGGGTTGACATCACCGTTTCTGATCAGTTTAACTGTACTGGCCCTTTTCTTAATATTTCGTCCAGGTCCACACTTGTCAATCAAAATGACATCATCTTCCACTCTCACAGCAACGGCACAGTTACAGGAGGCAATGCCTCGGTTGCACCGGCGATAGAAGGTATGAACGGCATATGGCAGCTCAGTGTGCTGATAGAGTGTGAATTCACCTTCTTTAAAGTTGTCATAAGACCTACAGATCAAAAGAAAAAGTCACATTGAAGTTATTATCTTCACCGTCATCTCAATAAGTCATTGAGTAACATTTACAGTACTGGAGGTTCATATAGTGAAAAACCCTCCAGTACTGCACCAGTTTAGAACGAAGAAGCTATAATAGAATTTTTTTTAAATTAAAAAAATACCTTCGCAGCCCAAGAAACACACTTTAAAAAAATTCACAGACTTTCATCAAACATTCAGCTATCATATAGAGTGACTTCCTTCGGTATTTTCTTCAGTGCAGTGGCTCTGTTCATTGTTTAATATTTAGTGCGGCTGGTTGAGTTGGTGACTAAAGTAATGAGTGCATACTACGGCCTGGCGACAAAAGCCGCAGACGGTACTCTTAGATTAAGCATTTGATATACATTCTACCAGCTTTAGACGACTCTTTGGCATCTCATACACTGACCATGTGACAAATGAAGAAGTGCGCAGTAGAATGAAACAATACATGGGTTATTATTTAGACTTGCTGTCTACTGTGAAGTGAAGAAAACTGAAATGGTAAGGCCACGTAAAAACATCATGTGGCCTATCCAAGACCATTCTTCAGGAAACTGTGCAGGGGAGGAGAAGGAGAGGAAGAAAAAGGAAGAGGTGGACTGACAACATTGCGGAGTGGACAGGGAAATCCTCCGCCCAAACTCAGAGGCGTTCGCAAGAAAAACCTGAAAAGTGGAGGCACCTGACGAGGCTCTCTGTCATACAGTGCCCCTACAATCCTCGTGGATTATGGGATCAGTGAGAGAGCAGTGATACATTCTGGTGTTCTAGAAGTAGCATACTGAAAAACAAAACGAAATAATCATGCAAAATACTTTTCACTAGCCTTTCTTACAATAGTCTTATTTTCATAATTCTGTAGGACAAAAACATTAATTTTGTTTGCCATTTTGTTTAGTAAAGAGAAGCACATTGATACAATAATGATTATTAAGTGCTGGGAAAAAATAAGAGAGACAGACAGACAGAAACAACAGATGGAGAGTAAAGAAATGCGATCTATCAGTGGCGCCCTTCAACTACCCACGATTCATTTTGTAAATACAAACAATAAATCAAGTCTCTGATATGACAACAAACTTACACTCCGTCAAAGGTTTGTATGTGTGGATCATTGACAGATTGACACTGCTTCCCTATATCTTTGTCAATAACAGTGACCTGTAAAGAAAAAAAAAGATTCCAAGCATTTATCGTACATAAAAGACATACTAATGCTTGGAAAAATGTCATATTTTAGACAATGTTGACAAAACTGTTGATACCAATGTATATTATTTTGATACATGTTGACTGTATTATATCAAATATCAAAGATGTACAATCAGATTCAAAGGCTTGTGACACACCCTGTCTGTTTCTCATGTTTTTGCAAGAGTTTGCCCACAGCCAATAGCTATCCCTCTTCTCCCCCAGTTCCTTTTCCCCCCCCATCACTCAACAATGTGTCCGCCAAGATCTATTTCATCATGCCTTTGTTTATGTTACATTCATCCTTGAACCTACAACCCCTGTCCTTGAGACACCAGGGACAAAGGCTGTCTTTGGTCATATTACCAATTATTAAACCAGATTACTCAATGTTTATTTATCGATTACTAAATCATACGCTGGTGGGTGGAGCTACAAATTCAATTAGCCACAATGACTGTTAGTCTAGGGTTCCTTTTTCCTTTGACTGCATTTGCAGTTAAAGAACTCATTCCCTCAAGGTAAATGGACCAAAAAGGTACCTCTGGTATACTTGCCATGCTTGTAAAGGGCATAAATAACTATTTTTTTAAAAACTAGAAGGCTGTAAAGAATGAAAGAAACGACTTGAAAAATCTCACCTCGACAGTCTTGGAGATGAGTATTTCCAGTTTCCCTTCGCATTCCACGCTAGCGGTGATGTTGACATTTCCCCTGACATCTCCATCTTTCACCAGGTCAACGGTAGCCACAATAGGCACAGCAGCTCCACTCTGCCAGTCTTGACTACTGACTGAACTGCTACACCCTGCAGTATTACCACCTCCCACTACAACCTGCCGAAGAGCATTGCCTTGTGGGCATATCTGTTCGCCACTGAATGTACCAATGGCTGAGGAGACTTGAAGAGTCGTTTCAGATGACACAGTTACAAATGACTTGCACAGCATATAAGGCGGAACTGTTGGGATGACTTTGATTGCAGAGGAACCCGCGCCTTCTGTGACTGTGATCTGACTTTGAACAATCTGAAAATGAGTTTAGTTTTTGTTTTAGTGACAGTGTCAGGGCACTTGCAACACAATAACGCCACATAAGTGCTGAAGATTAAAGGTGTTACTAGAGAGTAGACTGGATCGATAACAACAACTAAAGAGTAGCAAACAAATGAAAGAAGGAGGAGAGACAATGAAGATAGATGTTTGATAGGAAAGAAGGAGCGTCTGCCAACCACCCACTCTGAAAAAGAGAAACATGAAGGAAAAGAAGATTTCTTTTTTAAATACAGTGGAACCTGCCCTGACGGCCACCTCTATAAGACGGCCACCTGTACAAACGGCCACTTTCCGTTTCCCCCCTTGCATTTTTTCTATATAATTTAACTGTGTAAAACGGGCACCTGTCCAACGCGGCCGCGGTCACCTTATTTCAACACACAACCCCTATCACACTAAGCAATAACACCCGTCTAAGACGGCCACCTTAGTGACTCCATTTCGTTTAGTCATAAATTGTGCTTTGGCCCCTGGCGTTGTGGGCAAGCCGTCATAATTCAATCCCCTGTCGCTGTTGTTTGGTAGTCCCTCCAACCGATCATGTTGCATAGGCCCCTCCTACTGTTGACCAATAGCTACCAATTTTCAGCTGCTGGTGAGGTAAGCGTGTGATCCCTCATAACCCATAAGCCCCGCCCAGAACTTAAACACAAATCGTAAGCGAGATGAGTGGTCACTGTTTACCCAGTCTGTAACAAAGTAACAAAGGACGTCAACATGAACTTGTGACAGAAACGTCGCTCGTTCTCCGAGTGGTGGCGACCCAGGAGTTTGTTTTTACTTCGCACTCGGTCTTCCTTGTCTGATACATTTCGTTTTATTGTCACCCTTTTGCGAAATCAGCAACAAAATAAAAATTACAAACAAAATACAAACCACCACCACCAACAACAACAAAAACAACAATGCGGCCACTTTCGATTGTGACCTCTGATAGGAATAATTTGTTTTCTTCTTTTCTTCTTCTTGATCAGTCCTGCCTAAGACGGCCACCTGTCTTATACGGTCACTTTTCTCCTTGACAATGGGTGGCCGTCTTACACAGGTTTGACTGTATCTCTTTTTGCTTGAGTTCAAGGGAAGCACATTGACTCAATAATGGTTAACAAGTGCTGCTAGGAAAAGGCAAGATAGAAATACAGAAACAAAAGAAAGAAAGTAAAGAAGACATATGTTTGACCTTTCAAACAACAAGCAAATATTCCTTCCCTCAAAATATGTCTAAGTACATTATTATTGCAAACCTTTTATTTTGAGCAAATTTAGACCATGTAATTTTTTTAATCCACAAGTCTGACGGTATAGGCCACAAAAAAACACTTTCTACATTTCTCTATCCTTGGATAGCTTCTTGATATTATTACATGCAATCCAGTCATGGGCAGAAATTTAAACAAATGTGTCAACTGAACTTTGCAAGGTCCTATTCCTCAGTTATCCCCCCCCCCTCCCCCCTCAACTCCCTTAATACGAGTACTCTCAAAAATAAAGAGGAAAGAAAACAAAAATAACCTTCAATTACTTGCTTGACACATGTACTTTGTTTTGTTATTAACAAATGTAAATCGTAGAGATGATATACGCCCCTATAAAGACAGTTCAGATCTTTAAAGAGATAGGCTGCTTTGACCTTGCCGGTAGGGCCAACCCACGCTGAGAGGGATACAATGTCCTAGCAGACAAAGGGAAATGCTCAACGAAAGACTTCCCTATATGGGAATTGTACTCACATCTTCTGCGTGCTAAAGCAAAGCATCTAACCGCCCCGCCATAGAAACCGGGTCAATTTGTTTTGTGTAATGTTAAAATAAATAACTTTTCAAAGTGACTAACTGTACGGCATTCAAGTATGAAAGTTAAAAAAAGAAAGCTAGAAGTTTATACTCACTGTAACTGTGATCTCATAAGAAGCACTGAAGGTGGGTCCGCTCAGATCATCACAATTGAAAACGTAGCATGGGGTAACAGAGCACATGATCTGCAATAGAATAAAATCAGCTTAGTGACAATTCTGACACCCCTCTTATTGCTTACATTTTTAAACAGAAGCAGTACTATTTAGAAAAGCATACTGCATGAACCACGCACACGTTGAACATCTTAAAATTTTTCTCACTTCACCTAGGTGGGAATAGGTAAACAGCTAAAGACAGCGAAAGATCTAGTCAGTTTGGTAGTGTTTTAGTGATGTAATCCGCTGCTTGCACTGTATGCTTCCCAGGAAGCTGAGAATGTTTCTGAATGTTTTGGGGTCTGCTGGGGTAATATTAATAGTCAAAAAGTGCAAAGAGCATGCTGCAGTGTTGATGTACGCAATATAAACGCAATCGTTATTATTACTATTATTATTATTATTGTTGTTGTTATTGTTATTTTAGTTTTTATTATCATTATTATTATTATCATTATTATAAGACTGTTAAAGCTATGGAAAACACAACTATTTCTGTGGTCAGTTTCAACACAACACCAGCAAATTGTGTTGATGTAACCTATAACTTTTACCTTCGAACCAAATGTGGCATTTTCAAATTCGCTCTCTCCAATGACATCTTCGATCTGGGAACTTCCTAGCTGGATCTGCTTCACTGACATGTCGTCAACAAACCATTCGACTTTGTATCTGACGTCTCCTCTTCCAAGGCTCTCAAATGAACAAGAGAAAGTTGTTGTAGCATTGACAGCCTCATAGAATATTTCCACTGTGGGCCTTGCAGGTAGAGTAGGTAGTTCTGCAAAATGAAGAAAGATAATAAGCTTAAGCTCTTGAATTCTCAAACAACACGATGCTAAAATGTGGTAAAAGAATGTGTTTAACATTAGCTTTGACAAAACTTTTTGTTTATCTCCCTCCCCCAACTCCCCAGCAGAAACAGATACTCAGCTGTTAAATCATTATGTTTATCAATACTATTTTTTAGTAAAAGTGAACATTTTCAACAATGTACAAGCTATGAAGCAGGTAATAGATTTACAAATGACAAAAAGGAATACAATAAAAGACACTATTATTTACGCTCAAATGCAGTTACTGTAATAGAGCACTTTTCTATGACAAAATCTATTCTTAGCGGTTACCTGTAATGATTCCAATTGACTCAAGAACAGGCTTTGGGGCAGTGAATATCTCCAAACCTCCAAGAACCATGCCCAGCCAGCATGTTTCTGTGCCACTAGATCCAAGAACCAAATCGGAGCCAGTGCCTGTTTCATGATTGAGCACGGTGTAACGAGTTGTGGCATATGTTTTTCCATCCCATACAACACTGAGACCAAGACTGTCTGACCAGCTGATTTCAGCCTCAATATAGCTGAAAATACAGATAGATAAAGAATTCAAATTCTGTTCTACTCCGCATGACAAAAGGCCATACTGTTCTGTGGATACATCAAGCATCAGGAATGAAGTGAAAACCCAACACCTTCTTACATGCTTACCTTTACTATTTTTTATCTTTCATATTTCTTTTTTATTTATCTAGAATTTTTGTTGGCACAGCATTGTAACTCACAAAAAGGTATAAAAAGATGACTTTTGAGCTTTATGTCGAAAATTTTAAAGTCAAAATGTGTCTTTAAAGAGTCAAAAAAGAAAGGCGGACCCTAGCAACGGTTATGAATAATACATTCAAACTTTATAAAGAAGACAGAGGACTTACCTGTTCATTTTGACAGCACCAGTTCTGACAGACATTTCTTTGTTTCTTGTCCGTACACTTATCCTTGCGCTGCCATCACAAATAGATACAGACAAACCACTCTCATTCGCTTTTCTCCAGGTTCTCAACACATACCCATCTTCACAGATGGACGTGAACTTCACATAAAAGCGAAGAGTAAATCCCAAGGTGCAGGAGCTGGTCTCCAAAAGGCTAAGATCAGACTTTCGAACTGTCAGCGATTGTCCACTTTCTGAAAACTGAGCGTATTTTGCGCCACCATAACCAGTGACCAGTTTGACATCACCAGTTACTGCAATATTGCTAACGCTGGTTTCCAAAATTGAGCCCTGGACATTCAGGAACTTGTAGCGCTTGGCAAAGACATCTGTTAGAAGATATAAGTTAAGTCAGATAAATGTTGGCATGGACCATCACAACGGTTAGAAGATATAAATCCATTAAGACAAATTGTACCAGTATTCATTTATTTAAGCTTTTGGTCAAACAATTATATGACAATATATTGCACTATTAATAAGCAAATCTTTTGTTTTAGTAAGTGGTTTATGGCGCTTGCAACATAATTAGGTCATATGAGTGCTAAATATTAGAAGTTTTACAAGGGAGTAACAAACACAAAAAAAGAGGGAGGAAAGGTAAGGGTAAGGACAATAGATTTTTAATAGGAAAGAAGGAGCAAACCAAATCAGAGCACATGCTAACCACCCACAAGCAAATCTTTCAGAGCATAAGTGATGCAACATTGGACAACACGAAGGACAAGAAAGAGTAGTATGAATTGTCTCACCAGATATCAAACTCCACCTGTCTGTTGCATTGGATGGCAAGCAGAACCTGGTAACATCGTCTTCAAATACAGACCCACATGAGTAGCAAGCACCATTGATGGAACACAAATTGTCCTGAAATAGACACTAAAATCAGTATACACATTCTTACTATTAGTTTTGAACAATTTCCCTTTTGGATGGTGGTTACCCAGTTTTGTCCCACCCTAGAGTGTGGCTCCCCTGAGCCAAGAATAAACCCTGTTCAGGGAAAAGGCTAAAAGAAAATGGTTGAAGTACAAGACCCTCAAACTTTCACGTATCCTCTGTCAGAAATAGTTTCTGCATAGTATAAGTATTAGGTTGGGGGAAAAGGTTTGTATAAGAGTGCATGTATATTGTGTGAAGTGTCCTTTTCACCATCACTTCCTGCTTCTTCATCACCTGAATACAGCAGATAGATTAACTTATCAGCTACTACTATATTAACAGCAATGAAACATATTGGAAAGACATGAAGCTGCAGTGAGCACCTAGCACATCTCTGTGATGACGTATTTCAGCCATCTATTTTTATCGTCTTCTGGGGCTTCCCTCGCCAGTTGACGAGGTCTCACCGTGGCGGACCCACTTTGCCGCTTCAGGCACTCTAGATCTAGGTTTCATCGCCGACTGTTTGGGCTGTGTGTGCGCGCAGGTGTGTGTGTGTGTGTGTGTGTGTGTGTGTGTGTGTGCGCACGCGCTTGTGTGTGTGTGTGTGCACAACTTTGAGGAGAAGGTTAATTTATGGAACGAGAATGGCTGAGGTTGTTTTTAAAAGGTAACATAAAATTAATACAAAAAACCCCCCAAAAGCAAACAAACACAGTGAGATCTAGAATCTAGTCTACAGTAAAAGTTACTGGCGAGGGAAACTCAAGAGTCTTGGGGGAAACCGCGGAAGACGACAAAAATAGATGACGGAAATACGTCTATATTTGGGCGAATCACAAAGATGTGCTAGGTGTTCGCTGCAGCTTCATGTATTGGAAAGTCCCAAGGGAGAATTTACATATCCGCTGGACATTACCCTTCTTGTGCATCCAGAGTCATCACACATCTCACAGGAGCCGTCGTACAAAGTCCTGGTAAGCTGGTTGCTCGTTGTGAAGCCATCCAAGCTCACAGAAATTTCCGCAGAGCTTGTCAGTGTTTTGCTGCATACGATCTTGTTGGATGCGATGAAAATGGCACTGCTTGTTGATACTGTGCCCTGAAGAAAAAAATGATGAGGAGAAGTGTTATTAGAGGATTCAGTAATCATTTTTTTCCGCAAAATATTTTACATGCACTGAATTTTTTTTTTACACAAGATGCCTTATAGGTGTTGTTTGTCCACAAAATGCCATATATGCAGTGTTGTTTTTTCACAAAATGCCATATATGCAGTGTTGTTTTTTCACAAAATACCATATATGCAATGTTGTTTGTTCACAAAATGCCATATATGCAGTGTTGTTTTTTCACAAAATACCATATATGCAGTGTTGTTTGTTCACAAAATGCCATATATGCAGTGTTGTTTGTTCACAAAATGCCATATATGCAGTGTTGTTTTTTCACAAAATACCATATATGCACTGTGTCGTTTTTTAACAAAATACAATATATGCACTGTGTTGTTTTTTCACAAAACGCCTTATTTAATATTGTGTTGTTTTTCCACAAATAGTTTTTGATCGCTTCCTGCTACTAGTTGAACACATGAAACTAATTGTTGTAAAGATCATAAGAGAAGATGATGAGGATGTTTTTGGCTCAGCAGTTAGTTACAAAACATCTCATAACAGGGGTCGGGTTTCAAACCTTCTTCACATGCACTATCCCAAAGTATATGCTATGCTTGTCTGCAAAGTGACTTAGAACATTTTTACCAAGTGGTAAAGTATAAGACAATTAAGATGCACTTTACTGACCAGTAGGCCCCACCACGAAGAAAGTTTGTCTTGGTATAATAAGCGGCTTTAATACGCTAAAGTAGAAGATAATCAGATACCAGCATACTTTTACTGTTTTTCTCTCTTTCTCTGTCTGTCTCAGTCTCTCTCTCTTTCTCAATACAAACACACTCACACACAAACACACACACACACACATACACACGCGTCTTGGTATAATAGGTTGCTATAACGCATTAGAGCTACAAAGGACAAAAACAGTAATGTAAAAAAATTCAACACATTCTCTCCTTTCTCTCACTCTTTCTATCTCCCACACACATACACACTCGCACACAAACACACACACACACTTAAATACATACACTATCTCTTTGCACTGTGAGCTGCTTAACATGCTGAAGCTGACAATGAGATACCAACACAGGACAAAAAAATGAAGTAAAACGATATCTATATCATTTTGTCTGTCCGTCTGTCCGTCTGCCCATCTGTCCGTTCGTCTGTGTGTCTGTCTGTGTGTCTGTCTGTCTGTCTCTCTCAAACACACAGACACACACACACAGATTCCCACACAAACACACACTTTATTAAAACTGGCATAAGTAACAAACATGAGGAATAGCCAGCAGTGGGTGTGACAGGAGGGTGTCATCAGTTTCCTTGTTTTTCACTGGTCAGCTTTCATAAAATGTATTTTGTGAAAACAAGGTAGAAGCGCATATTGCGTTTTGTTTTTAAAAACAGTGAAATAAGAGAGTTATGTGCCAAAATAAGAGTGTTTTAAAACATTTTGTTGGAATTTTTTTTTAAAGGTAACAAGTATTATCATAAAAGATACAGTCCTAATGACTAGTTTAAGAACATGGGATTTTGCAAATATATGTACAGACTGCTCAGTGTACAACTCCGTCCTATGTCACTTTATAAAATAGCAGATGGTTGAGTCTGACTCTAAGCAGTTGACATTCGGTTGAGAAAGCCGCTGAGTGTTCCACACAAAATTCTAAAATGTCTTACATTTTCATTGAAGTGACAAGTCAGGTTTTGAGTGTCGGCAAATCCGGTTCCAAAAAGAACAACTGAAGTGCAATCGGCAAGGGACTTGACATCGCATATTTTTCCACCCAGAATGGAAAGCAAGGTAGGAGGACTGGCCATATTGACAGAGCAGTCTGCTGAGCCAAAGCCGTCGTTGCACAGACAGCTTCCTGTTGGAGAACAAAACAAATCAAACTCCTGTGTCAATGGTGCACATTTGTGTGTGTGTGTGCGCACGTGTGTGTGTGTGTGCGCGCGCGCGCGCGTGTGTGTGTGTGTGTGTGTGAGTGTGTGTGTGTGTGTGTGTGTGAGTGTGTGTGTGTGTGTGTGCGTGTGCACTCGCATGCATGTGTGTTTGTGTGTGTGTGTGTTTTCAGTTTGATAAAAATTTCACAGTGCTTGCAACTATATAAGGTCATGAGCGCAGGAGTGTGCATGCATGTGCGTGTGTGTGTGTGTGTGTGTGTGTGTGTGTGTGTGTGTGTTTGTGTGCGTGTGCGTGTATATGTGAGAATGTGTGTATGTGCACATTTGTGTATTTGTGTGTGTGTGAATGTGCAAGCTGTGTTTGCGCCTTTACTTCCGAGGAATTGAATGTGGTGAGAAGCAGGTATAAAGAAATATGAGAAAGACATTAGGATCTTCTGGTTTTGACAGATTGCCTGAGGTTAGAAAGGAAACAGTTACATCTTACATCTTGTCCTGAAAATATGCTCCAAATAAAGAGGTTGTGAGCAATTTAACGATTTTTAAAACTTTTTACAGAAGATATGCTACAGCTTCTTGCTAACATACAACTACAAACACTTTACCTTCATATTCAGTATTATTAAAGGTACTTTTAACTCCAGTCTGACTAAATATACTATTCTGACCAAAATATTCAAAAATATAATTAAAAATTCAGTCCAACCTTTGAGGCAACTTCCTTCACGGGAGCAATTGTTGTAGCAGACGTCAATGTCTGAAGGAGCCAAGTAACCATCGACATCAGTCCAGTGTTCCACTTGGGATGAGACGGCATCTATACAAGCCCACAGTACTGAGGACATGTAGCCTTCCACTCTGGTTTCATCTTCTGAGATCTGCATACATTTCAAGTAGCAAACATAGGTACATAAGAAGACATTCATTCACCACACCATCTCCTCTCTAAAAAAGGTCTACAAATAGACTGCTCCGTGTTAGATTCAGTCATACATCACTTTTCAAAATGGTGTACAGCGAAGACTGACACTAAGCAGTTGATTTGTACATAAAACATTCAGCACACCAACTCCTCTTTAAAAAGTCTACAAATATATTCTATAAAACCACAAAATTTAAAGCTTATGTGTAATATAAACATTTATAACAGAATGAACGAGACCCATCCTGACTAAGTAATGTCTGTTTCTGAGTTTATATAGCATGTGGTTTGGAAGGTCATATTAACAAACAAAAATAATGATTGAATATCAAGGATGCAGAAAAAGGCAAAAAACAAGAAAAAGAGAGGAATAGAGGAGAGAAAGACAATTAAAGATATGAAAGGACAAAGTACAAACTGTTGTCCTCTTCCCCATAACTGAAGGAGGAGGCATCTTTTTCAACTCCAGAATATGCTCCATTTTCAGCCATGTTTATCACTGGTCAAGGAATATGTATTCTACCTGGATAATCCATTTACTACTAAGCTATTGTATCATTTAAAAAAAACTCTACCTGGATATCAGTGACATATTGTTTGACTATTTTTTGGATCAAGACCTTTACCTAAGATATCATCCACAAATTGCTGAACTATTTTGGGCTAAAAAACTCTTTGTTTTGGTAAAATGTTTTTACGGCGCTCACAACTGAACAAAGTCATATGAGCGCGCGGGACACACCTAATATTTTCAGTTGGTAGGAAATTTTGAATTTAGCCCGAGTGGCGGCCGAAGCCTACTCTTATCGATTTTAGACCACCAAGAGATCTTTAATGTGCGCAACTTGCACACGGGCCCTCTGAGATTTTTCACCCTTGTCCGAGAAGGCTAGGTGTAGATCTTTCCTACCAGAAGATCAAGGGTGTGGCAGAAAGACAGCAGTTAGGAGGAGCCAATGAGTAGTAGTAGAAAGGCTGCAGAAAGAGTCAGGAGCCCAGAGGAGGGGACAAATGAGGTGAAGGGGTGGGGGCAGAAAGTGGAAACGAAAGCAGACAACAGAACATTGCTAGAGTGCAGGAAAGGAGGTGAAAGGAGACAATTTTAGAGTAGAAAATTTTTCGGTCGCTACCCGGATTTGAACCCGAGACCTTTTGAATGAGAGGCCAACACCTTAACCTCTAGGCCACGAGAGCCCCCCTAAAAAGCTCTACCTGGATATCATTCAAATACTATTGAATTATTTTTGGATTAAGAGCTTTACCTGGATATCATCCACACACTGTTGAACTATTCTTTCAATGTCTTTGGAATCATGAAGGTATCCAGAGCACACACTCATAATCTGGCTTTCATTCAAGGCTTTGGTGCAAGAATCACGGGCTAGAGATTCAGTCAAATTCTTGCTGCTCGTAGGCCAGGACAATTGCTGAAAAGATTTGTAAAAATGATAGGTAAAAAAGAAAACAGTCGCCACATTCTCCACAATACAACAGTGAAAATATTACAAGTTTGTTAGGAGAATGAATTAATGAAACGTTAGAGTTATTAAAAGGTGGCTGAAAGATTAAGTGGTATCACTCCATCGTATTAAGATAACTGGGCTTTCAGAGCCTTGCCATGTTATGCAAAAAGCATGTGAACAAAAAGGGGTGGTATGTTTTCGTATTTCACTAACGTTATTTGAGAAACAACTCTTTTGCAGTGTCAAAAGTGTTTTCAGTAACAGGGTAACATGGACAAAAATTCAAAGTATCAAAAAAAATTAATCAGGCTACCCCTTATATACCTAAGACCATATAAAACAAACTTGAATGATTGCTAGAATGTTTACCAGCACAGTTGAAACAATAATAAAATTACCGGTGGTTCAAAATCTGTGCCAGTGCTGTAGTCATATTCCTTAGTTTGTTGACAGCATCCACTAGAAGGTCTGCCCAAGCGCAGGAGTTTCTCAGTGACATCTGTGCCTGGAGTTATAAACAAAATGTATGACATTTTGGTGAAATCAGGCGCATGTCAAAATAATTAAATCAAAGAAACTGATATTTGCAATTTTTATATTCTTTTTTCTTTTGTTGCCTCAGCAACTTTTACATCCCTTTAAGAACACATTTCTATGTGTGGATTTTACTTTAAAAATTGCTGATGAAAGGCACAAAAAATATATATTTGCAGTTTCCAAGGACACACAAGCTTTGGAAGTCATTAAACTTTTATGGCCATTTTCTTGCTACTTTTACCTCTCACTCCATGCCACTCTAAACCTCCTTCAATTGCAAATAACTTGATAGATAGATATTATTTTTATGAAGAGCACGACAAACAAGCTTTAAGATCATCACAGTGACTTTGCATATCCAAAAATTGATGAGTGCCTGATTCCACCATGTCAGGACACAAATGGTCAGCTGCATGATAGCTAAGATATAGGGTTCGTTAGAATAACAATCTTGCTGTTACAGACAAGATGTAGAACAAAATCTTCAATGGTATACCTTTACACCGCAGCTGTGAAAACTTTTATCCCTGGCAGGTTTATATTTGGTGATAAGTGTTATTATTTGTCCCCACGTGTGAATGTTTCCGTATTTGCATAAACAGATCTGTTATTTAAAATACAGAGCAGCAGATTTTTTTCCATTGTCTAAAAGGACAGCATCACAGTGCAACGGCGCACTATTAGAATTACCGATTTCCAGTATAAATATATAAAGAAAACAAACCTGTTTGGACTGCAATGCTGTTCATACCCACAGGCGCCACTCCACACAAAAAGACGTCCACATCCTTGCCACACACCGGTTGGGTTCTGTTTACACACTGACAATAGCTTTCTTTCCCTGGGACGGCATAGTTTACACCAGCTTCCACGCACAGGCCATTTAGGAACGACTTTTCAGCTCTACAAAAAACAAACAAAAATAAACATGAATGAAGGGTAATTAATGAGGTTATAAACCGTAATGCGAGCTATACTGCAAGTTAAAAAAACAAAAAACTAATGGTATTTATTTTACCTCTGAAACTAGGCGACCTCACCTCCTTCAATTGCAAATATCTTGACCTCTGTTCAATACACATGGGCTTTAAAAAAAAATTAATTAAAAGCAAGACAATTAAACAAACTTTAAGAAGATACTAATAACTTCACACGCCTAAAAATTGATGAGCCCCTGATTCCACTGTGTTGTTACACATGTAATTTACATATTGTTTCATATAATTATTCTCTGAAAGTAAATTCTGTAGTCTTGACTTTATTCCTTTACATATATTAACAAATAGTCAACAAGAACATATGCCTTTCTTGAATAATTTATAACTGGCCACAATATTAGTCGCAACTGTAGTAGCGGTCGAAAGCAACACATAATGTTCCAGGCCCTTAACTCTCGAATGTTGTGTAAAAACACGCTGGCAGCAAGTTAATGACAACTTTATTGCCAATTGTCACTCCCTTATCTCATTTAAAATATGTTATATATTCGGTTACCCTTTTGGGTATTTCAAGCCCCATGTACCTCCTATC